ACAAATACATACAAATTTGTTCGAACGTCAATATATAACTTTGTGTACATATTTCATTAAAACTTTGGAGGTCTCCACTATAAGAGTTGTATATTTGAAAATTAGAGAGTTCTACCTTTAAGTTAAGTAATACTTGTTTTACCCCCTAATTTATGGGACCATTTTCCAAAGTCAGCCCACCGTTATTCACTCAAAGTTGTATTCGGAACACGATATGTCTTATGTAGGAACTGCATCCGGTTATAATCGATTACGCTGCAAGCCTGATTTGCTTGGAATTTTGTTTTTCTCGTTGTTTTGTTTTATGTTACTTGAAAATAGTTTTCACTATAAGAAAATATTGAAATTCATTTCATTTGGGTTAAAGAAAACGACAACTGTGAAAAAATATCAACCAATACATTCAAATAAATTGTCAAATAAGCATATTTACATTTTTTGTTTTGCCTATCTGGATTACTGTATACTGTGATGTAAAGTTGAGAGAATGAATTCAAATATTTTTTTTTGTCAATTACGATGTTTGATTTCAGTGTTAAAAAATTGAACTAAATAATTCTTCAGGGTACTCGCGCATTTCATTTACTTCAATAATAAAATAATTTGCAACATCAATGCAGTTCTACACAGAACAAATACTACCTAATATAATAGAGTAATAGAGTACTGAATAAAAAAATTAATATGACAACAATAAGAAATCGCCTCTACATTCGTTCGCGAATAATCCAATACGATGGTCTCTTACATTTGTTTAGAAATCATAATCTGTCCCTGCAGTCTACTTAGTTCAACAATTTTATGAACGTTTTAGCAAAAAAGAGTATTTAGTACTGAAACAGAACCCAAACATTAAACACGCCAAACATACTTTTTCGATCTGTACACAATTAGTGTTTGGCCGAGCTTCTCCTCCGATTCGTGGCGTGCGCCTTGATGTTGTCACACAAAAGTGACCTACAGTTTTACGCCGGCTCCGAATGGCGATAATAAGCTGACTTCCAATAACATTGCATACGTACAAAGTATAAAGTTCCATAACGTCGAATTACAAAATGTTTACAATGTACACGTCCAAAAATTTGGGTTTAATTTTTAACCGCGCTGGAACTACTGCCTTTTTTAATCTTGTATAGTATACTTTTTAAATCAAATATATCAAATATATTCTGGTTTAAATTTTAGTCTAGGAGCCAAGAAAATTATGTTTTGCTGTGAGTGGTTCAAAAATCAAACCAAAATATTTTAATTTTAGTTTCTAGGTTTCATATTTAGAAAATTTTGTTTAAAATCTAAACCGAAATACAAAGCACGAAGCATGAAATTTATGATTGTTTTATTCTTAGTTATGAAAATGTTTGGGTTTAAAATTTAAACCGAACTGTTTAAATTCTATACCCAACATATGTGCTCTCTTTTTATAAAACTTGGAAGGTTTGTATTTGAAACTGAATTTAGTTTGGTCATATAAGTAGTCCAAAAAGCTTAAAATTAAAATCGAAATTTTTAGCTGTGTACGTTTTGGAAGTCAGCCATATTTTTATGAGAAGCTGTTTTTCATGGCAGAAATAACAGTCGGAAGTTTTGCTAATGCCTGCGGAAGGGCGACCGCTGTTAGAAAACAACTTTTTATTTTTATTTTTTTTTTTGATGTTGGTCAGAAACTGGGCCACTACACCACATCGGTCGCCAATTTTTAGTTTTCGAAAATTTTTAAATCTTCTCTATTCCTTTGCAGTCATATTTGTTGCGTATACCGATATGTACAAACATTAGTTCACTTACTTAACTATTTATCAAACTATTGAAAACGAGCCATTCTTTTGGAGTGTTCTAACTCGTCATATCGTCGCTACCATGTCAAACTATCGAATGTGCAAAAATATTTTTTCACTTATGCTCGCTTGCGCATGCGTTTAGAATGATACGTAAGTTGCCAAATCGTCGAATTTCTAGTCTTCTTAGAAGCAGAGGAGACAGGTTTTAGTGTCGAATCCCACATGTGTTCCCAATGGCAACAACATTTTTTAT